AAAGCTCTGCTTAAATAAATCTTCGGTTAGCAAACCATATTAGCATTTATAAGCCAAAGAACTGTATACATGATATTAGCACTAACAGTTTTAAAGCTATACAACTTTTTCACTTGATATAATACAAGATTCTTAGATGTCTGTCTGCATTATGTATTAACTCTGACTAGCTTAAGCTAATTTCACATTTCTATTTCTTTTTATGCTGTCCTTATAAAGTAGGGGAGGGTCAAAACTAGATGGTCTCTAAGTTTCATTAAAGCTCAAAATCTAAGGATCCTAAAATATTGCCCTGATATTACAGATGGAGAAATCCTGTACTTGGAGACAGAAGACATCCGTTCACATTCTTGTTTTGTAATTTTTTGGTTATGTATTTGACCTTGGGCAAGCAACCTAACCTTTTTAAACTCAGTTTACTAATCTAAAAATAGAACAAAACAAAACAAAATATTAACAATATTTCCACCACTATCCACACAGGGTTGTGTTGAGGAAAGTGATTTAAAAATCATAAAGCACTACATAAATGTAAGGTATTATCCACCATCATCAAAAGATTTGGAACCAGATGATGACTATTTTTGTCCCTAAAAGCTCACTGTACAGTCCAGCTAACATGTAATTTTTTGCTGTTATATCTCCTATCATACATGTCACTTCATCTCCTGCTTTTATACCTTCCTACTGATGTTTCCTTTGTTTAGAATGAAGTAAAAGCTTATCCCTACTTCTTAGAATCCATTGTTTCCTTGACAACTTAGCTCAAACATCTTTTATATGAAGCCTTTTCTGATATCTCCCAATTGCTAGGACCCTCTGCCATAAAATTTTAATTGCATTTATTTCATATGTATGCATATATGTGTGTGCATATTTTTTTCTTCGTGTGTACTTGTAATTATCTAAGAATGGGTTGCTTTCTTTAGCCAAGTGCACACTCCTTAGGCAGGGACAGTTTCATTGGTGTCATTGGATTCTTAGTGTCAGATATATATTAGGGGCTTTATAAATGCTTGTTTAACAATAGATTTCTTGATTGACTCGAAGATCATCTACTGAGGCATGTAGAATCTGTAATCTCATGCTGGGATAATTTAGACTGGTGAAATTTTAAATCTTTAGTAGCGCTGACATTATTGCTCAAGGTCACTCACTAAGCGAAGATGAGAATCCAGATCTCCTAATTCTCCTCATTTTGAGTATAAGGACAAATGATTAAGAGCTCACATTTAGTGCCTTAAGGTTTTCAAAGTTTATCTCAGTTGAACATCATTATTATCCATATTTTACAGAAGAGGAAACTAAGACTCAGGGAGGTCAATTAACTTTCCTGTAGTAACAAAACTAACAAATATCAGAGAGGGGTATTCAGACCCAGACCTTCTTGAACCTAAGTCCAATACTCTTACCATTATGCCACCTTGACAAAGACTATATCTGACATTTTTGTCCCCCCCCTCGCCCAGTGCCTAACACAGTATTTGTTCATGTGGTGATTGCTTAATAAATATTTGTAGAATGAATAAATGTATGATTCTGCTTCTACAGTTACACTTAAAGGTTGCCTTCTGAGCTAGTAGAAGAGGTGGTAATTTATTTTGTAAAAGTATAGGACACTCAGAAGGTTCTTCATTGAAAAAAAAGACCAATCTATCTATCTACCTAGCCCTATGGCCAACTCCTTACTGGCTGAAACTCCACAGTTAGAGTTGCATTTTTCCCCTCTGCCTGAAAAAGGTAACACATTTAGCCTTATTAGTCATTTACACCTTCATGAGAATGGATTGATTTGATTTTCTGTTTCCTGATAAAAGTTGGATATAGCAGATAGTGGAAAAAGAAGAGAAATCATAAAGGCACTGAGCTTCTGAGAAGCAGAAATTGGGGGCCTCTGTGAAATGAAGAGGCCAATGACACAATTCATCTGTTTCACTAATATGCAAAGGCTGGATCCTGATACGCTGCTTTTCCAGTAGAATGTTGTGAAGGCAATGTTTTCTAGAAGATAGCATTAAATTAGTGAGTTCAACAAGGCTAAAATTTTCAAGGCTAGTCATTTGAAAAAGAAACAGTGAATGGAACCTGAAAAGAGGTTGATTAAATCTTCCTACTATACTGTGATATTTCACCTTCATATCTAATGTTGTCTCTTTATATTGTGTGAGTGATGTGCTTTCTTGTCCTGTCACTCTCTTCATAAAATTACTTACACCAGAGGCAAAAAAGAGGCAATTCTCTATCTAATCTGTTTTGCAAATTTGACAGTGACATCAAAGAGTAGGAAGTTGCTGGTGAGTAATGACACTGCTCATTTGTTTAAATGTCAAACCTAAACCCCATCAACTTTCAGGGAACAGCTGAGTAAAGAAGAGGTTTCAGATTAGCTAGAGAGGATTTCTGTACTTTTCATTCAAAAGGAAAATGACTCCAAATATCTTGAGGGTGAAGTAACTCGAGGTAATTTTTCTTTTTTTACTCTTTTTCTCCCTCCCTCCTTCCTTCCTTCCTTCCTTCCTTCCTTCCTTCCTTCCTTCCTTCCTTCCTTCCTTCCTTCCTTCCTTCCTTCCTTCCTTTTCTTTCTTCCTTTCTTTGTACATAGTTGACCTCGTCTTTTCAGCACCTATTTTTGTGGACAGTGCTCTCTATTCCCCCAGATATTTAAAACAGAATTACTGTAGTATGTATTTCCTAAGCCTTGAAATCAAAACTTTCCCAGGCATAAAAACATACCACAAGGTGGTAAGAAATAAATATTTCACTTTACCCCCAAAGCTTTGAGGGGAGTCAAAGAGGGAGGGTGATGTAAGGGAGAAATGAGGTAGAAAATCAGTTTCCACATAACTGTTAAACATAAAAACAAGGGAAGGAGTTGGCTAAGTAATATCAAAATACCTTTTCATTTTTATTTTCATCCTTAAAATAGTAAATTCTCAGTGCATATCATCCATATTCCTCAATAATTAAGTTGCATTAGTGAGAAGATAGTCCAGATATTCAGTGAAGGCCATTCATTGACAATAGCTGCACAGGGATATAGGGGAATCCTGGGAACTCATTACCACATCAGAAAGATTGCAGAGCTTGAGAGACAGAGGGAATCTCCATAAACTCTTTACTTTTATGATGTGTTATCATCATGCAATGATCAAGTGGCGCTATACCTAAAATGTAATTCTGAAAATGAATGAAAGGAAGATGGGGAGCAGGTCAAACATCAGTTCAGTTATATTGTCAGAACTATGATAATGCCCCTCTCCATCAGTACTGCAATTAATTCCATACTGGCTGGATAGATCTTTTATGTGTTTGTATGTGTGTGTGTGTGTGTGTGTGTGTGTGTGTGTGTGTGCATGTGTGTATGTATGTATGTATGTATGTATGTATATGTATGTATGTATCCTAAAATATGTATGAGTATATATATAATATGCTATACATACATACCTATATACATATATATATATATATATATATATAGGTATGTATATATATATATATATATATATATATATATATATATAGGTATGTATGTGTGAGTGTATGCATTCATGCATACACTAAAAAAGGAAACTCTGTAGCTTGAAGGTATACTAAGGGCATACCCATGTACCCATAGGTATTTTGATATGTCTCATAAAATAATAAACCTGCTTGTTCTTTCTAGAGTACTTGTCTATCACCTACCTTTGCCCATGAATGCTGAACAACCTAAAGTTGTCCATTTGGGGGACAGAGAGTAACATTAGATTAGTATTGAAAACTTGCTGATAGTTTACTGTTCTTCTCAATCTCCGGTCACTCCTAGCTTTTGGCTTCCAACACACCTAACTGTTCAGTCTAGCCTGCCTGCCGCTGTGTATTCCCTCTGTTTCCTTATATCAATTCAGAGGAATCTGTATTTAAATCACCCCTTCTCTTGATTTCTTTCTATTTAAGACTTCTCCACCCACCTGTCCTGGACATTTGAAAAAACATCCCATTGAATATCCCTCCCTGTGAGTTTATCTCTAGTCTCATTTTTTCTTATTCCCACCCCCACCCAAATCTCACCTACAGTCCAAAGGTTTTCCTCTTTGAATAGAAGGGCATTGTGGGTTCCCACAGATCACAAACACACTCTACCTTCCACCCCTCATTCCCACCTGCACCAGAACATGAGAAAAGGAAAGGAAATTAATATTTTGCTGGTTGCCTCCTTTCCAAGCACCAGGGTCTGTCCTTTCTGGCTCCTAACTAACATAAAGCCAGAACAATATAAAATCTAGATAGCTGATAAATCTCCCCAGGGTTGAGACTTTTTTTCTCAGATGCTGCTCCTTTCCCTTCTCTTCTTCACTAACTATGCACTGTTGTATTCTTCTCTGGTTCAGTCCTTGAAGGAGACACTCCCTAATATGCCCTTACCCCCCCCCCCACACACATTAGTGCATCTAGGCAGCTGCTGCTAAGACCTAGAAAAGGGCAATCTGCCTCTGGAATCGCGTAATGACTTTAGCAGCCCAAATGAGCCCTTTCCTTAAGAGGGCAGGTCTGGACTGCAAGTAGCACACAGCTTTGGTACTCAACCTAACTGGAGAAGCACCTAGCTTCAATAATAATAGAAAGCCTAATTTCCTTCAATAAACAGGGTCCAAACCCTTAGCCACTGAGTCACTTCTCCTTCCACCCCCAGAAGGTTTCATACTGGGTAGAGGGCAATGAGGTGGGAAAGGGTGAGGGATGAAGGAGGGATGGGGTGTGTTAGGGGAGGGGTTTATTGATTTGCCCATGCACAGCAAGTTAAAGGCAAGATTTCAGTGCAATGCTCCCTGGTTAGTTAAACAGGAAACTTTTTTTCACTAAACTGGAGAAAACCTGCACTGACCAAAGGCATTAACACTCAGACCCCTTTGTGTCTATTACCCAAAGGAGCACAATGGGGGTAAGGGGACCTTGCCTAACCTCTGGCAGAGGGAATGTGACAGTGCTTTGGAGAGCTGCCCTAGGGGGACACTCACCCAGGACATTGCCAATGAGCGCCACGATGAATACGATGATATAGCCAGCGATCAGAACCCATTCATATTCTTTGGGGTGTAAGTATTCTCTCCACACGTAGCGCAGCAATTCCTCATCGTCATAGAGCGAGAGATTTCCCAAAGGCTCCCGAGTCCTGTTGAGCTCCGGACAAGATGACCAGTTCCGACAAGGCGGGAAAGCCTCCAGGTTGGGGCCAGACATCACGGGCTCCAGGTCCAGGGGTTCTCAGTGCTGCAAGCTCGGTTTCCTCTTCTCTACCTGCTCCATGGGAGCTCCGGGTTCGCGGAGGGGGGAGAGGCTGAGGGAGGGGAAGGGAGAGGGAGGCGAAAGGAAGCAAATGACGTGAAAACTTCCAGAGCCAATGCCACTCCGAGACTTTGCCTGGGGAACTTCTCCTCCCGCCACCCTCCTCTGCCTCTGCTGTGTTGGTTTTCCAGACGGGTTTGCGCCGGAGCACGGAAGCAGCAGAGGGAACAAGAAGCCAGCATTCAAGGCTGCAGCAGTGACACTAAGAGGAGCAGAACGCAAGCACAGCCAAGACTGAAGGAGACCATTCCAGCACCGAGTCCTCAGCCCTCCAGCCTCCAGCATCCTCCCTTGCGGAGAGGGGAGGGGGTAGGAAGGGAGCTAGGGAAACAAAATAGTAGGTAGAGGCAATTGTAGTGATCTCAGCCTAATTCTCTTTCGGAATTTGAACAACTACCTTACTCTACCTCGTACTCTCAAATACAGTTTCTGAACGCACATACATCTCTAGATGCAGGTGGGCATGACAAGCATATACATGCAAGATTAGCTCATGCTTTAGGTCAGTTTCATGACCAACCCATTGGGTACAACATAAACATTCTGACACAAGCTTCCTCAAACGCAATGACTTGAGAACCACTTAAGGTAAACATTTGAAAAACAGACATGCTTGAGTTTCCCAACTTAGCACCTAGCTAAAGCCCTGAGTGCTTGTTGTTGTTGGTGGTGGTGTTTTGTTTTGTTTCTATTTTGCTTTACTTCTCTCTGAGAGGTGTAACTATTCCCATGCTACAGAACTGATTTAAGGTAAATTTACATTTGGCAAAGGCGAGTGTCAAATGACCTTTGAAGGACATTAAGGGGTCATAAAAATGCTCACAGTTATGCTTTGCTCTCCAAAGAGACTATCTATATGCATTCAACCTGAGGGAATTCCTCAAAACGATGTATTAGAATGGGCAAATAATTCTCAATGGTGAATTCAAATACTAACCTGATTTATTCTCTTGTTGAAGTATTGATAACATGACAGATGCAACTGTCATTCATTTGAGGACAGTGGCAGCATTTTCAGTGCCAGCCAGAATTTCCTTTCACAAGTTAAGTGTTTTCAGATTCGGCAGAACACACTTTCATGAGCTCTTCATATTTATCATTCCAAAGTGTATGATTATGACTTCATAATCAAGAACAGGGAAAGTGATTTAGAATATTAGAATCTTGGAGTTGCAAGGGACCTTAGTATTATCTAGTCTGCTTTCTATTCCAATGTGTCTTGGAGACAGTCCTTCAGAATTTGACTCAATTCAATTTCACAAACATTCAAATGCTTCCAATGATGGGGAGCTCATTATTATAATATGTCAACCTATTCCATTTTTTGAAAGCTCACAACAAAGAAATCCTTTCTTATAGTGAGATGAAAGTTGTTGCCCTGCAAGTCCCATCCAAGAATGTTGCTTTCTGAAGTACAGTGTAGTCTAAAGATCTTTGAGCTTGGAGTCTCTGAGGACCTGAATTCAAATCCCAGTGCTGCAACTTAATACCTCAGACACATAGTGGAATTCATTTAACATCTCTGGGCATGAGTTTCCTCTCATGTGAAATGAGTAAGTTGGTTTATGGTTCTCTATGGCAACACAGAGAATTTCCTTTTTTACAATAGGACCCTTTAAATATTTGAAGAAAACTATGTTTTCTCCCTGTCCCCTCCCCACAATTTGTATCTTTTCTGTGTCAAATATGTTAAGTTCATTCAAACATCCTGATTACCTTCCTTTAGACATGGTCCTGTTGATCAATTTTATTCTTGAAATGTACAGAGAACCAAACAGTATTCTTATTAGTCAAAATGTAGTGAGACTGTCATGGACAATATTTTAAACACTGTACTTCTATTAACGCAGTCTATAAAGGCATTAGCTTCATATAGGGGTGTGGTCTTTTTCATAAGAACTGCTATCTAGTAATGCCATAGGATCAACAATTATAGGTTTAGAGCTACTTAATGAAACCTAAAAATCATGTCAAGTCAAGTTTTTGATTGAGGAAACTAAAATTTCAGAGGTGTGCTGGTAAATATTCAACAATAGTATTTCTGGATTTGTGCACTACATATCTTAAAACTTAATCGCTTTGAGTCTAGATAACCAACAAAATAATAAATTCATTCCTAATTTGTAGCATGTGTTGATTTCTGAGGTATAAATACTCACACTGAAATTTTAACATTAATTGGCTCTAGCCAGGTGGCTCCAGCAAATGCCTAAGGTCAATTGACATGCCAAAGTCTACACAAGTATGAAAAGGGAAGAACAGCATTCTAACTCAGGTTGTAGGACTCCTTATCTTCTTGTCTTTCTAGTGAACCATGCTATCTCCCCATTCTTTACTTACATATTTGATTTTTGAACCTACATATATGATTTTATGTTAACCACTGTCAAATTCAATGTCGTTAGATTTGGTCCTCTCTTGAAATTCTGCCAATTTTGTAAATTCTAATTCTGTTTTCCTATATATTAATTACTTCTATATACTAGAGTAATATGCAAATTTTCTACGACTAGGTCTCCCATTCTAAGTCATTAATAAAAATATTATACTATTTTGCCCCTTATGGACAGTGTTGTATTTACTTGATTATTTTACAATAATACTTTTCCCATCTATACAAACTATAAAATCAGATTGTTTCAGTTTCTCTGCAGTGATAGAATTAATAGATTTTTTTCAGTGTTTTTGTGTCAGGAAAAAAAGAGGAATAAAGAAAGTTACATGATAACCTTATTATATATTTAAAAGGAATAGCAAGTTGTACATAATAGATTTGCAGTTTCAAGTGCAATCATCTTTTTTCATTATAGTATATTATGTAAATGCTTGTTTTGGTCCAATGCTTGTTTAATTAAAAATTAAACAAATTAATTTCAAAAAAGATAGCCTGTATGGAGGGGTCCCTTTCTCTCAGTTTTCATGAAAAAGTGTGGATTTGTGAAAAAGCTGTGTTTGAATTGGGATTTCTATGTTTCTCTTGGTATTTTCAGAACAACTGAGAGCAGGGGATGAATATATACGCCCTCTCTCTTGGTTTGATGGCATTTGGAAGGAATTTGCTTTCTCTCTTTTCTTTAGGAATAGAAATAAAATCTTAAAGTTATGTTCCTTTCCATCTTAACTCACTATATCTTTCTTATGGATTGCTATCATGGGAAATGTAGAAATCATCTCTCTCTCTCTTTTTCTCTTTCCTTCTCTCTCTCTCCTTTCTCTCACTCTGTTCTCTTGCCTGTTATCATATCTTGTTGACCTGCCCTTAGGTTGGAACCCCATGTTCTTTCTCCTCTTCTATGCTGACTGATCTAAAATATGGTCACTTTCTCAAAGGTTAAATTAGACTAGTGAACATCAGAAGAAATAGGTAAAATTTTTGCCTTCAAAATTGAGGAACACAATTATGGTGGTCTATGGATCAAATTGAGGAGTGGTGACCAATAGTAAATCCAAAGACCTTTTCAAGATCTTAATTCTTCCTCATCCTTGCAACTTTTGACACTGCTGACCACCCTGTTCCGCTGGATAGTCTCTTCTCATTAGGTTTTGATGACTCTACTTTTTCTTGATACTCCTACTACTTGTTTGAACATTCCTAAGTTTATTTGCTGGATTATCACACATAGCCCAGCCCCCTAACAGTGGATATATCCATAAGGCTCCATAAGGCTATATTAGTTCTCTGGATATCAACCTCTACACATAAATCTAGTTGCAAAATAAACCGACCCACCAAAGTAACCCTTTATGAAAAGTTTCTATGGATTCCTACTCATTTCAAGTCCTGAATATGTAGGCTTTTCTCCCATTGTGCTTAATTTAAGATGTTTCTGAATGTTGTTCCCTGCTCCTTGTCTCTGACCTTCTGAGCAGGTTCATAGCACCCTCTATGTTCCCCATTTCATCCTCTAGGTATTGTATCGTTTTGCTACTACTGCAGGTCCTCCCAGATTCCCAACAGGTATCACCAGGTGGGGAGATCTCACATTCAACTTTAGTTCTTTCTTCTGTATGAGGTCTTAGATACAACTCACCCATTCATTTCACAATTGCCTTGGGCTAGCTGGAGCCAATAAAATCTCTCTGTCCAGGGGAAAAATAGGCTAAATTAAAGAGAAAAAAAAAGCTTTTTTAGCATTGGACATGACATTTGCCACTAAGGGAATAAATCCCAAGAGTTTACTTTGGTAAGAGAAATATTATAGACATGCTATGCCTAATCAGAACAGGGATTTTTTATTGTCTATTCCACTTTGCCATTACCACTATAAGCTTCTGACTCAATAACATTTTTCCCACAAGAAGGGTCTCCCTTTATTATTGGCTTTGAGGAGAATCAATTCATCATCTCTAGTTCAAATTAGCCTGACAATAAACCTTGAGATCTTCCTTTGACATTTGGATGGTGTATCTTCCCATCAAGACCACTTGAGTAGGGTGACTAGGTGATTGTAACTGCCTCTTACTCATCTGTACGTATGTGTACGTTGGGCTACTTTTTGTCAATCACTCACACACAAACTATTCTAAAAAGGTGTGGTTTTATTTTCAAATTTGACTCAGGAAAACAATGAGAAAAGAAAGAAGAGGCTAATGCCTATTTCCTTATGCCAGTCAACTCATCATAGCTTCCCCCAGAAAAAAAAAAGCTATTGTCTCATGTTTCTAGTACAGCCTCAGTCTGTGTTTCTCTGTGTGTCCTAGAAAGTTAAAAAAAAAGAATCAATAATTCTATTTCTACAGCATGAGGCCATAAAAAAATTATTTTGTGAAATATGTACCACATTATAAAATTTATTTCTCTCTCTTCCTGGATGCTCCCCTCTCCATTGTCCCTCTGTGCAATACTTTATCAAGGACACATTCATATCAAGAGGCAATGGTTAACCACATTTATTGCACTTAAAAATACAGAAATAAACAGAAAGGCAAGCAAACTGTTAAGATTAAAGGAATAGGCACACATCCAAAGAAAAGAGAGGGAGGGGAAGAAAAGAGGACAGAAGAAAGCATTCATAAGTCCTAGTCTCACTAATATGAACAATTCCACCGATCCAATATGTAATCCAGATAGTTAATGCATGATTTGATCACAAAAACCTAATCCTAAACTTCAGTACTGAAGATCTTAATGGCCATAGCTATCTTTCCATGTTTCCCCAAGTGATCAGCTATTTTCCCAGCATAATGGTAGACCTTTCTGTGCACCCTTTTATGATATGTTCTCTCTTGGTATTGGACTGCTTGAT